GCAGAGGTTAGTATACTATGGGAATTTGCAGAGGTTAGTATACTATGGGAATTTGCAGAGGTTAGTATACTATGGGGATTTGCAGAGGTTAGTATACTATGGGAAATTGCAGAGGTTAGTATACTATGGGAATTTGCAGAGGTTAGTATACTATGGGAATTTGCAGAGGTTAGTATACTATAGGAAATTGCAGAGGTTAGTATACTATGGGGGATTTTCAGAGGTTAGTATACTATGGGAATTTGCAGAGGTTAGTATACTATGGGAATTTGCAGAGGTTAGTATACTATAGGAAATTGCAGAGGTTAGTATACTATGGGGATTTGCAGAGGTTAGTATACTATGGGGATTTGCAGAGGTTAGTATACTATGGGAATTTGCAGAGGTTAGTATACTATAGGAAATTGCAGAGGTTAGTATACTATGGGAATTTGCAGAGGTATACTATGGGGATTTATAGAGGTCAGTATACTATGGTGGATTTTCAGAGGTTAGTATACTAAGGTTGATTTGTAGATGTCAGTACACTAAGGTTGATTTGTAAAGGTCATTATACTATGGGGGATTTGTAAAAGTCATTACACTATGAAAGGGAACTGTTGAGTTCAGTATATTCAGATTGATTTGTAGAGATCAGTACTATGTACTATGAAGAGTTTTGCAGATGTCAGTATAATATGAGGGTTTTGCAAATTTGTCTGTGTTCTATGATTTCAAGGTAAGATAGATACCATGGTTGAGTATACAACTTAAGTGTATGCATTGTGACATAAATGTTATATCTATGCATGCAAATTCTTAGCTGTAGCATCACAGATTACCATGGATGAATTTTGGTGATCATAGATATTACTTGAAAAAGGTCCTAGGTAACCATAGAAATCCAATTGCAGTAACCATGGAAAAACTTAACAAATATGTGATATATTTAGATATGTGTTAACAATTCAGATATGCAATATATATTTATAAATATGTGATATATATTCAGACTTACAAAATATTCAAGAAGACAAATATTACATATAGTATTTCCTAATCTTTTTAATCTAAGTCATTTTGACAATGACTTTAAAATAGCCTGCATTAGAACCATCATGATGGATCATATCGTTAATTCAAACACAACTCTCACTATCCTTGGGGCGGACATCCAGGCATTTTCACCGCCTGGCAACCATCACAGTGAAAACAAAGGTCGAAAACTCTCAAAAATGTGCTTTAGGATAGTAGTTGAAACTCTCCTGACCATTGTAACAAGATTAACCCTACATATGCAACATATATAAATTTTGTTGCTCAGGATTACTTCAAACTTGAGTTTGTGCTGTTTACTTGACTTTAGCATGGGCTTGTCAATCGGCGTTCCACAGCAGCTTGTGCAGAGGCCCTAGAAATACATGGTAGAGTGGTGGGCATCATAGCAATGTAGGACGTTCTGTGACGTAGCTCCGTCCCCAAGGATACTGAAGAAGTCATACTCATTTCCTACTGTAGAGGGCTGTATACAAATTTGTTTCTGAATTTACTGAACAGCGAGGTATGTACGACCTAAAATAGTGCCGTATGCGAGTACCAAGTTGCGAGTCGCAAGTAGCAAAATATGCCATATGCTAGTGGTAAAAACGGCATATGCGAGTGGTAAAATGTATCGTTTGCTAGTAGCAAAAAAGCCCTATGCGAGGGGTAATACAAAGGCTTGTAACGTTTGCTTATAATATAACAACGTACGTTCAATTGTGTTTTATCACAGTAAAATCAAATATTTAGCATGGTTATGAAATGATGTGTACATCGTTGGTTAGATTGGCATGATGCTGTATCAAAAATTCGTTCAGTCGTTTGAA